GTTATATTTTTAAGCCATCCTCAAGCCTACAATTTTATGTGCTCACGATTCTTTTAGTTGACCATTTTGATATACAGTTTATATCACCGCGACCAGTCGGGTGGCAGTCAGCGGTTCCCATCTACAGCCTTCCCACCAGTGCCGATTCCCTCCTACACCGATTATTGCTCGATAACGAGCAAGGCAGCCGGATGCGAGCTCGTGCCGCGCTGCGCTCGCCGCCCCCGACAAATTGCAGTGTCACAAACTACAGGAGGGGGGGGGAAAGACACTTTGGCCGAGTCACATATCAGCAAAGTTTACGCAGCCCAGAGAGAAGACGTGGATACGAGTACCAGGGCGGAAGATACCCAAGATGTTCCTCGATAAGCAGGAGCTGGCTCTCGCCCATCACCTTCATGTACACCAAAATATGAAGTCATCTCCAGTCGCAGCCTGACTGGAGAAGACCTTTGGAATTCATGTCACCTCCAAACAGCTGCGAAACTTCTAGTATGGAGTCACCCATGGATAGCTACCTGGAGACCAGTACTCTTGATCTGGAAGACCTCCAACATCGAGCAGCTCCGACAACGTCGCTACGGTCCAGGATATCATCTTCACCGCAGTCGCCAAGGCGCGGTTGGTGGTATGGACCGGAAGTTCCTGGAATGTGAAGACCGATATTTTCTTCGTGGACCCCGGACTGAAAGTGAACGCTGACGGTTACATCGACCAACTCGTGGAGAATATCCTGCCTTCATGTCATCCTGTACCTTCTTGGAAACTTCGTACTGCTACAGGATTGGGTGCCTCCACACGGAATCGAAGGGCGTTGGAAAAACTCTCGCCTACTCCCGGAAGGGCGTTGAGGACCTAAGAAGACGGTTTATCCAAGTGTGTCACCTGACCTAAAACCCCTCCCCCCAATTAACCAGTTCGGGCGGAGGCTGGTCTACAGTGGCGGAGAAATCAACGATCGATCTCGCTGAATTCAGGTATCATCGTCCAGGCACTGTGGCGGAGTATCGTGATAGCGAATATGTGCTGTTGAATACTGTGGTGGACATGTCCAATCAGAATTCAATAAAGTGTACCTTATAGCGCCTTAAAAGTCAAGGAAAGATAAGCGATGTTTTTTTCGTGCCCCTGTGATATTTGTATTGTTCTCCTACGCTAACGTGTTCGCCTGCAAACAACATCGCTACTCCAGGACCTCGGGCGATCCACTGAATACTTAGCGCTGTTCTGTACTGGCTTGGCCCTCTAAAGCTACTAACACCCCTCTCCCCTCCCTCCAAGCTCAACAGTTTTGATACGACCCCCTCCCGATCCCATATTTGGGAGAACTCTGAGATGGTGGCCATGTTCAATGGATTACAACTGGATATGACCGTGCTGCATATTATAATGTGGTGTGATTATAATGTTTATAAGAAAAGGGAAATGCAGTGGTTGGTGAAGCGCATTCATTTAACGTTTTGCAAGTGCTTGTAAGATGTGAAGGAGTACTTACCATGCTAACTCAGATCCTGACCCGGACTTCGGATGCATTCAATTTCGAGCTAATTTGTGTCTTCGTCTTCAAATTTTTAATTTCTGCATAGCTAATCTAATACCTTCATAGTCTTTAGGTCCTGACCCAGACGATCTTCTCGATGAAGGTTACACAGATGGAAATGGTGAGTTTGAGCTTCAGGGCGGCACCATGGAGCTCACACCGATTGACCCCATTTTCAAGGTATACCACGACTGCGACGACGGCATCAAGGTCAACTACAGTTTTGAACTCTGAGAAAAGATTTACTATTGTAAATTTCTTTCATGAAATACATTTAAGCCTGGCTCAAGAAAAGTCAAATTTGCTCTACCGAAGTCCTACATTACTAATGGAATGACACCCAAGAAAACATTTCGACATGGGACGTAGGCAACTTTCCATTTCTTCTGGGAGGAGCCCTTCACAATTGAATCTCATCGAGAAATGTTTAGGAATACTGAACCTGGAAACAATTTTTGCCAAGGAAGAACGAGAGATGATTGTAACAAGAAGGAGGAGAGGACGGGTTTATGATGAGGACGATAGAAGCAGCAGCGATGAATCCATATAAGATCGCTAAATCTTAAGAAGACTATAGAAGAAAGTTTCAGATTTCCACACCAATTCATACTTCAGTGTATCGTATAGAATGAACTATTGCTCATTTTCTATTACCTCATAAAATTAGGCGCTGATTTGTGATGTACTTCTTAGTATTATACTTGTCGATGAACCTGAAGTTTTATAACAAGTAAAGCTCCGAAAATATTTGTTCCCAAAAATTAGAAGAATAAACTGTCCGAAAGATTCTGAAAAGGGATCAGGAATGAAGCGAAAAGGTTTTTACAGAAATCGGCCTTTTATTAAGTTTCGAACATTTCTATGTGATACGTTGCAGCATTTTCGCAAATCGGCGTTTTATCAAGCGCGGTCTTCCTCGCCAATCCACTGGACATCTGACTGCAGTTTATGGCGACGTTTTGCTTGATATGGGATTAACTAAGAGCAGTGTATGATCAAGATGTTTAGGGAAAAGTCGCCAACATACTACTTCCCACAACGAATATATTCTTCGAGGAGGTAACGTTAGCTCAAATGAAGTGTTCGGCACTAGTTCCTGGGGTTTTTGTGTGAGCTCGGACCCGGATTCCGCGACCAGATATACAGGGGGGGGCAAAAAAAGTCATTCCGGCCGAGTCACATATGAGCGAAGTTTTCGCAGCCCAGACAGAGGAAGTGGATATGAGTACCAGGGCGGAAGATACCCGATCTTCCTCTATAAGCAGGAGCCGGCTGCCGCCATTCACCTTCATGTACACCAAAATATGAAGTCATCTCCAGTCGCGGCCTGAGTGGAGAACGCCTTTGGAATTCACGTGGCCTCCAAACAGCTGCGGAACTTCTTGAATGGAATCACCCATGGATAGCTAAATGTGGGAAAAAGCAGTCTCTTCTCAGTCATCAGTAGAATGGAAACGGTTCCAGAATTTAGCAAAAAATGGGCGAAAAAACTAAGTAAGTACTATGCCTATATTGAAAAAAAAATTAGACAAAGGAGGTTTGAAAGCACTATACGCCCTGCTTAAGGATTAGGCTCATAGATAAAAACACAGAATAGGCACTCTCTCGGGAGCAGGATCACATAGGGCAATTTTGGATCGAGATAAGGCTGAGCTGCTAGCGGATACGTTTGAAAAGTCATTCGGATTTGAGTCTGGTACCACGCAAGATTCAAAATTTCCTAGGATACAGGCTAGTAATTCTGCCCCATGGTTTGACCGAAAAACAATTCTAGATATTCTTCTAAAGTGGTCATCGGCATCTTCTACCAATAGCGAGAATATACCATTCATTGTTGTGAAAAATTGTATCTTCGAAATTTGCGCTCCTCTTGAATTTCTATTCAACTTAAGTCTCATGCGAGGCGAAGTACCGTGCAAATGGAAGCATTCTATTGTAATACCTCATCCTAAAAAGGAACCGTTGTCGAGCCCAAGTAATTACAGACCAGTTAGTCACACTTCAATTTTTTCCAGAGTCTTTGAGAAAGTAATTAAGCGTTACTTACTAGAGCACATCGAGAAAAATCACATTCTACCCGCCACACACCATGGGTTTTGTAAGGGCAGGTCAACTGAAACTTCTATGCTGTCTTGCATGAATGATTGGACTAAAGCGCTAGATGCCAGAAAAAATGTTGACGTAATATATTTTGATTTTAGCAAGGCATTTGACAGACTGCCACATAGGGTCCTATTGAGCAAGCTTTCTCGCTTAGGTGTCCATCCCCTAGTTGTAAACTGGGTTAAAGCTTACCTCGACAATCGAACGTTCCAAGTTCAAGTAGGGGAAGCACTGTCTGAGGTACGAGTAGCAACCAGCGGTGTTCCACAAGGGGCAGTTCTATCACCCGTGCTTTTCAATATGTTTACGGCGGACCTTCCTCACGTGCTAGAGAACCTCGAAGTTACTTGCAATATTTTTGCTGACGACATCAAGATTTACATGGTGACTGGAGATCTAGATTATGAACCCTCACTGCAGCTTGCAATCAATAAGATTGTAGGTTGGGCAAAGGATAATGGGCTCCTTTTGTCTTCGGAAAAAACTCAGGTCATGCGTTTGGGAGCTTCCACCCGCAAACCGGTGTATTACGTGGAAGATGTTGCATTAAAAACAGTGAAAGAGGTGAGGGATCTGGGGTTCAACTATGACAGCAAATTAAATTTCAGCAAGCACTATAAGATGCTGGTAACCAAGGGATTGCGGAGGACCTTCAACTTGTTCAAGGCCCTGAGAACACGAGATACTAGCGTTTTATTGAGATCATACAAGCTATATGTGCGACCAATTATGGAGTCCGGGACCGTCGTATTCAATCCACATATGAAAAGGGATATATACGCACTTGAAAGTGTGCAGAATAACTTCACGCGTAAATTGATGCTTAGATGCGATGGGTTAAACTACATGGAGATACCCAACGGAACCCTTCGGAATAGGGCTTATGGGTTGAAATCACTGGAATGGAGAAGAACTAGAAACGACTTGCTAATGGTATTCAAATTATTGAAAAACTTAGTCAAAATCAAAGCAGATGACTTTTTCCGTGTGCTGCCATCTAACTCAAGAGGCGATTCCATTAGACTCTCATCTATATATGCCAGGACTCACCTTAGATCAAAGTTTTTCGGCAATAGAGTTTGCTCAAGGTTCAATTACCTTTTGCGGAGAAATGTCTTACAGTTCAAATATCCAAGTTTTAAGCGTCATGTGGGAGATTTTGTAGAGTCTACGAATTAGTTGTAATTTGATATAGAGGATTATACAAATGATGTTGTGTTCTGTTGCATTACCTGGTTTTAGTTTTATTTGCGTTGTAAGTTTTATTGTTGAATGTGCTCTGTCACGTCAACCGAATAAAACAAACAAACAAAATTACCTGATGACGCAGTACTCTGATCTGGCAAGACCTCAAACCAATATCGAGCAGCTCCGGCAACGTCGCTACGGTCCAGGACATCATCTTCACCCCATTCACCAAGGCGCGGGTTGATGGTGTGGACCGGCCGTACCTGGAATGGAGAAACTATGGACTAAAGGTGAGCGCTGGCGGTTACATTGGGCAACTCGTGAAGAATATCCAGCTCACATGTGGTCGCCCGTACCTTCTTGGAAACTTTGTACTGCTACAGCATCGAGTGCCACCACATGAAATCGAAGGGCGTTGGAAAAACTTTCGCCTTTTACTTCGGAGAAGAACGTTTGAGATAGCGGCTGGTAAAGATGGATGTATTTAAGCGGGGGTCCTGAACTAAACCCCCTCAATTACTCGGTTCGGGCGGAGCTCAACAGGGTGGTCTACAGTGGCGGAGAAATCAACGATCTCGCTCAACTCCGGTACCCACTCACTTTCGCGCGGCCGAATCTCTCGATGGCGCTCCTCCAGAAGGCTGTGGCGGAGTATCATTATAGTATTTAATGTGCTCTTTAATATGGTAGTAAAAATGTCCGATAAAAATTATAATAATGTAACTTATAGCGCCTTGAAAGTCATGGAGGCAAAATGACTTTTTTTTTTGGCCCCCCCCGCTGTATAGCACTCGACTAATGTGGTCCCTGATCAGCTAGAGAGTCCACGATCGGCTTCAGAAGCATCATCGGTGCTATTCTAACCAATATGATGTGCTGTGTAGAATTGCATACGGAGAACTCGCCTTGTAAGTGTGATTTTTTTTGTTAGGTCGTAGTGAATGGGAATAACGGAAAGTTTTTTTTCAAATTTCTCACTATACAGAACAACTTTTTTGGGTGAGCCGCCGCCGCTAGCTGTACTGGCCAGCCACTTATATTGTCCAATCGATCTTAACGTTCTGTCGCCAGACAGGACAACGATAAGCCCAATATGTTTGTCGCGTTTATGATTGCTATCACTGGTAAACAGCTTTATCAGCACCCATGGGACCACTCACCACAGTGCGTTCAGTCGCCTTTAATTTTCTCCTTTTTCACTATTGATATCTTTAATTCCACTTCATATAACATCTACAGTCGCGGGAAATATATTTGGAACCAAGCCAAGTCGCGCACTTTTAATTGCTTGCCTTCAAAGCTTCAAATTGTACATGAGAAACTTTATTGGGCTCAGAGCAGTACTTAAAAAGCTGCTCTATGGAAAAGAGTTGGTTGATTAGATTCGTTGCAGGGACAAAATTTTGAAGATTACTGCGATGAAGAGGGGGAGGACCAGCGGGTGGAGTGAGGGCCAAAGGGTGGAGTCAACGTTTTATCTTCTTACGAGTCTACTACTAATCAGCTCTCCCCGCAGGTACGAAAAACTCGGTTGGCTCAGGCAGAGCCGATCGGGATTGAACCTGACACATTGCTTGTGTTACGTAGCGCCACCTCCTACACTATCTCCGCTTGACCAATATTTTTAATGTGGTTGCGTAGAACATTATATTCTTAGCTTTTGATCCTAATACTGGTGTTTAAGAAGAGATTAAATAGATTAGAACAAATTAAAAAAATGCCTTTCAAGCTTATTCCAAGTTTTTTTTCCGCGGCTGTAACTACGACATTCGAGCGTTTTCCACTTTGTTAACATTCATTAACCATGAGGGAAAAACCAGGATTGCACATTGGCTCTTTTTAGTAGCACTTTGGTTCTGGAGCAGAATTCGAAGGGATACCGTTTCTCAATTAGCAGATAGATTAGAATGTGCTGGCCGATCGTGGCTAATAGGCAATTAGTACCCAATCGGAGTGTCAATAAAACGGTGTAGTCGGACCCCATTAGTTTACCGTTGACCGCTTAAATTTATGTCTAATGTGGCCGAGGGAAGATAAGCTAAAGTGCATGTTGCGCATGTTGTCTTCCATTTTGAAGCGACGCTCGCGACACACTCGATAAAGCTCCAATTTTTTTTGCACTTTTGACTGCGAACTAGTTCGATTTCCATGGGCGCAAGAATTGTTCCACCAAACGGCCTGAGATACGCGGGGTGCTTGAGGGTTCACGCTATATGATCTCCCTCGTGAAATCGTCAGAATGGGCCGAAGTGAAACACC